GAGTCCCTATATACCCCTTATTATTAACATCTTGCATTAATGCAGTACATTTGTTTTAATTGATGAGCCAATATCGATACATTATTATTATTATTATTATTATTATTATTATTATTATTATTATTTGGCAGAGGAAGATTCTCCTTGAGCTAACATCTGTGCCAGTTTTCCTCTATTTTGTATGTGGGTTGCCACCACAGCATGGCTGCCAACGAGTGGTGTAGCCCATACCCAGAAACCGAACCTGGGCCACTGAAGCGGAGCATGCCAAACTTAACCACTAGGCCGCGGAGCCAGCCCTGATACATTATTATTAACTAAAGTCCATAGTTTATATTAGGGTTCACTCTTTGTGCTGTACATTCTATGGGTTTTGACAAGTGTATAATGACATGTATCTACCATTACAGTTTTATACAGAATAGTTTCACTGCCCTAAAAATCCTCTGTGCTCCTGATTCTTTTACTGTCTCCTTAGTTTTGCCTTTTATAGAATGTCATGTAGTTGGAATCATACAGTATATAGCCTTTTTAGATTGGCTTCTTTTATTTAGTAATGTGCATTTATAATATGCGTTCCTCCATGTCTTTTCATGGCTTGATAGCTCATTTCTTTTTAGCACTGAATAATATTTCATTGTCTGGATGTACCATAGTTTATCCATTCACGTACTGAAGGACAACTTGGTTGCTTCCAAGTTTTGGCAATTATGAATAAAGCTGCTATAAACATCTATGTACAGCTTTTTGTGTGGACATGTTTTTAACTCATTTGAGTAAATACCAAGGAGCACAACTACTGGATTATTATGGTAAGAGTATGTTTAGTTTTGTAAGAAATTGGTAAACTGTCTTCCAAAGTGGCTGTAGCATTTTGCATTCCTACCAACAATGAATGAGAGTTCCTGTTGCTGCACATCCTTGGCAGCATTTGGTATTGTCAGTGTTTTGAATTTCTGACATTCGGTTAGGTGAATGGTTGTCTCATTGTCATTTTAATTGGGCATTGCTTTTGATAGAGAATAAAAAGTGGGCTGACTGGTCTCTGTCTCTTAGTGTCCTGAAATTTCCTTTCATTGTACTGATGAATCAAAGTGTAGTCTAATCTGGAGAGGTGAAGCATCCTTTGGTTTGGCATATCTAAAATGATAGGAAAAGAGTTCACTGAGGGGGACACACAGAGGGTCAGTAAACATATGAGAAAAATTTACCTTCAAATCAGTAGTATACCGTTTTTCATTTCTCACACTGGCCAATTTTCTTCTTTATGGCAAACAAAACTAATGGGAATGTAATTTTTAGATGTAATCTATTGAGTTTCTTGCATTCCCCTAGAATAGTTATGGCACAATTTTTGGTTAAATTAATATTTAGTGTTTTGATTATTATTATGTGTAAATGGTTCGTAGATGGGACATGTAGTATATATAATGATTAAATTTTATTTTTTGTACCACTTTTTTCCTCCTAGAGTTAAAATCTGCTTTTCTTCTTTTTATTTTATTGAGGTCATATTGGCTTATAACATTGTGTAAATTTCGAGTGTACATTATTATATTTCAGTTTCTGTCTAGACTGCATCATGCTCACCACCAATAGTCTAGTTTTTATCCCTTACCATACATATGTGCCCCTTTACCCCTTTCCCCCGCTCCTCACGCCCTTCCCCTCTGGTAACCACTAATCTGTTCTCCTTATCCATGTGTTTGTTTATCTTCCATGTATGAGTGAAATCATACAGTGTTTCTCTTTCTCTGTCTGACTTATTTTGCTTAGCATAATACCCTCAAGGTCCATCCATATTGTCACAAATGGCATGATTTGTCTTTTTTTATGGCTGAGTAGTATTCCATTGTATATATATATACCACATCTTCTTTATCCATTCATCCACGTTTTGGCTGTTATGAATGATGCTGCGATAAACATAGGGATGCATAAATCTCTTTGAGTTGTTAATTTCATGTTCTTTGGATAAATACCCAGTAGTGGGATAGCTGGATCATATGGTATTTCTATTTTTAATTTCTTTTGAGAAATCTCCAATTGTTTTCCATTGCCACTTTTTTTGTTTGCCAGTTTTTTGACATTTCTATTCCAAATCCAGCACCCAACTCTTCACCAGAGCTCTAAAATCTCTACATAGAATTATACATATTAAGCTTCTCCCCCCTTTTTTTTCTTTTGAGACTTTCTTCTGTTGTCCTGCTCATATTTGTGCTGGTTGATCCTAGAGCTGCTGCATTGCCATTGTCCTGGTCCTTCCGTTCATCTCCTGAGGTTCCCTTTTGATCCATTTTCTAGACCCCATTTGTCTTCGTTTTTGTGTTAGTCCCTCATTTGGTTGGAGCATGTCTTTCTGTAACTTCTTGAAGAAAGGGTTCATGGAAGGTAAATGTATTAAGATCTGCATGTCTGAAAATATCTTTTTTTGTCCTTATGCTTTATTAGTAATTTGATGGGGTATAGATTTTTAGATTGAAAATTATCTTCTCTCATAATTTTTGAAGGCAATACTCCACTAACTTCTAGTTTCCTTGTAAATGATATTTATTTAACTGAATCTGTCCTTGAGGTGCTGAGTTTATTAGTAGAGATAAAGTATTTATCCTCCATCTTTATTTCTTATAATCTATAAATGGAAAGTACATAATCTATAGTTCAGCAATGACAGTCTCAAGATTCTAGTTAAGTACATGCTTTCTAAAAATTCCTGAGTAGCAGTACTTATCCAGATGCAATTTCATGATAAGGTTTTTTGGTCATTGCTGTAGACTGAATGTTTGTGCTCCATGCACCCCTCTACCCCACCCCAATTCATTTGATGATATCCTAACCCCCAATGTGATGGTATTAGGAGGTGGGACCTTTGGTAGGTAAGTAGGTCATGAGGGTGGAGCCCTCATAAATGGGATTAGTGCCCTTATAAAAGAGACCCCAGAGAGCTCCCTCTCCTCTTCCATTATATAAGAATGCAAATGAAAATGGCCATCTGTGAACCAGGAAGCAAGTGCTCACCAGACACTGGGTCTGATGGTGCCTTATTCTTGGATTTCACAGCCTCCAGAACTGAGGGAAATAAATTTCTGTTGTTGGGCCAGCCTGGTGGCATAGTGGTTAAGTTAGCGCTCTCTGCTTCTGGCAGCCCAGGGTTCGCAGGTTCAGATCCCGGGTGTGGATCTATGCACCACTTGTCAAGCCATGCTGTGGCAGTGTCCCACGTATAAAGTAGAGGGAGATGGGCACAGATGTTAGCCCAGGGCCAATCTTCCTCAGCAAAAAGAGGAGGATAGGCGATAGAGGTTAGCTCAGGGCTAATTTTCCTCACACACACAAAAAAAATTCTGTTGTTTATAAGCCACCCAATATATGATATTTTTGTTATAGCGGCCCAAGCTGACTAAGACAGTTATTGTTTTGTTTTGTCTATTCTTGTATTGTTTTGTTATTTTGTTTGTTTTAAACCTAAACAATGGTATTGCTAGAGATAAACAGTGTGTTTCTGAGAGCAAACGAACAATAACATAAAGTAGTTAATTTCTTGTTCAGACAGTACTGAGTCTGAATCCTGCTCTGCCATTGACTGTTTGTGTGACCATGGCAAGTGTGTTAGTCTGTGTCTTCTGAGAGACAGATGCCCAGATGAGATTATTCGTGCAAAGATTTTATCAGGGGAAACACCTGTGTGAGAGAAAATGGGGAGGGAGCCTTTAGACCCAATGCTTTATTGACCCTAAGTGAAGGAGGGGGAAGGTTGGGTGGAAGAGACCGCCTTGCAGTCTAAGGATGGTTCGGCAAGGTCATCAGGGAACCCTTGAGCCAAAGTCAACCATCAGACAAGTCTTGGGTCTCCCAGGAAGAGCCTGCCTTAGTATCCCTGCCACACACAAAAACTGGCTGGGAGCAGTCAGTGGGAGGTGTGGCCTCAGGGCACACACAGTGAAGGATTTCAGAGCCTAGACCTGGGACCCTTGTTCCAACTTACACTTCCTGTAGTTGGAGGCCTGTGAGGCATATTCTCATGTCCACCACAGCAAGATTCCTCAGCTCTCTAAGCTGCATTTTCCTCATCTGTAAAATAGGGATAATGACAGAGACTAACTCATAAGGTTATTGTGAGGTAAGAATATGTGATGAGCTCAGAATAGAAAGGATTCTTTTTCCTTTTCTTGTTCCTCCTCCTCTTAGCTTTTTCTCAACAGCATCTGTTTCAGATAGAACACTAATAAGCCAGAAACTCTTCCTCCAATTTACTAAAACAAATCACAGTCTTTTTTTTTTTTTTAGTGAGGAAGGTTAGCCCTGAGCTAACCTCTGTTGCCAATACTCCTTATTTCCTGAGGAAGATTGGCCCTGAGCTAACATCTGTGCCCATCTTCCTCTATTTTTTATACGTGGGACGCCCGCCACAGCATGGCTTGATAAGCGGCATGTAGGTCCCTGATTCACGCCAGGAACTGGAACCCATTAACCCCAGGCCACTGAAGCAGTGTGCGCGAACTTAACCACTACACCACCAGGCTGGCCCCAAATCACAGTCTTTTTTAAAGTGTTACTGAAAGTGTGCTCCATGGACCAGCACCATTAGCATCACCTGGGAACTTGTTAGAAATGCGAATTCCTTGGCTGGCCCAGTGGCGCAGCGGTTAAGTGCCACGCTCCACTTCAGCAGCCTGGGGTTCACGGGTTTGGATCCTGGGCGCGCACCAACGCACTGCTTGTCAAGCTATGCTGTGGTGGCGTCCCACATAAAGTAAAGGAAAATAGGCACGGATGTTAGCCCAGGGCCAGTCTTCCTCAGCGAAAAGAAGAGGATTGGCAACGGATGTTAGCTCAGGGCTAATCTTCCTCACAAAAAAAAAAAAAAGAAATGCGAATTCCAGGGCCCTGTCCCAGACCTACTGAATCATAATCTCTGGCATGGAGCCCAGGGATCTTGTTTTTAAAATCCAGGTGATCCTTGTGCACACTAAAGTTTGAGAAGCACTGCTTTAAACACAAATCCTCCTTATTTCTTCTAGCGAGGAAAAAGGAAGAAAACAGATAAAATCTCTTCAGAAACAGCTGCTTAATGTCAAAAGAGAACGGCAAGCTGAAGTACAGGTAAGAATTACCTGGGCAACACCAAAAGTCACTGAGCTAAAACAGCTATATAGAAGCCAACCTTCTTAAGCAGAGAAAAGTTATATACGAGAAATCGTTGTTTCTCCTAGGGCACCTTTACTATTGAGAGAGCATACAGCTGGATCTTGCTTTTTTTTTTTCTTTTATGAATTCTGACAACCTCTGCCTTTTAATCAGTGTTTAGTCCATTAACATTAGTGTAATTATTGATATAGTTGTTGGATTTATGTCTTTGATTGTTTTCTGTTTGTCTCCTCTGGTTTTCATCTTTTCCTGACTTATTTTGGATATTCGATTTTTGTTTTTTTTCAATTTCTATTTTAATTTATCTGTTGGCCTTTTACCTATACCTCTTTGCATTTTTTAAACAAATGGTTGCTCTAGGGATTTCTTTTCACAATGTATTTAGCATTAATATTGTACCACTTGACATAAAATGTAAAAACCATGCACCCATATAGTTTCATTTCTTGTCCTCCCCTCTGCCGCTGCCCTTTATCCTATGTCTGTCATATCTGTTACATTCAATGTACATTACAAACACCACCAGACAAAAAACATAGTTTTGCCATAAAAAGATATATGTGTTTTTAAAAATTAAGAAGAAAATAATTTTCTTATGCTTACCCAGATATTTATCAGTAAGTTTCTATTTGGTGTCATTTCCTTTCAGCCTACAGAAATTCCTTTACTATTTCTTGTAGTCCATGTTTGCTGCAGACAAGTCCTCTTAGTTTTCTTTTACCTAGAAATGTCTTTATTTTGCCTTCATTCTTTTTTTTGTTTGTTTTTTGTGAGGAAGATCAGCCCTGAGCTAACATCTGATGCCAATCCTCCTCATTTTTGCTGAGGAAGACTGGCCCTGGGCTAACATCCATGCCCATCTTCCTCCGCTTTATATGGGATGCCACCTCAGCATGGCCTGACAAGCAGTGCATCGGTGTGCTCCTGGGATCCAAACCCGGGCCGCCAGCAGCAGAGTGCACTCACTTAACCGCTACACCACAGGGCCGGCCCCTGCCTTCGTTCTTGAAGGATATTTTTACTGGGTATATAATTTTGAGATGACAGATTTTTCCTTCAGCACTTTAAGGATAGCCAGTGTCTTGGCCCCCATTATTTGTTTTGAGAAGATAGTAGTTATTCAAATCATTATTCTCCTGTATATAATGTGTTTGCTTTTGAAATTTTATTTTTATCTTTGGTTTTCAGCAGTTTGACTATACCATGCCTAGATGTGGTTTTCTTCATATTTATTCTCTTTGGATTTAACTGAGATTCTCAAATATGTAAATTTGTGTCTTTCACAAAACTTAGGAAATTTTCAACCATTACTCTTTTTTCCAATTTTTTTTATTGTAATAAAATACACATAAAACTTACCATCTTCACCATTTTTAAATGTATTGTTCAGTGATAATAGGTATATTTCATTGTTGTGCCACCATCACCACCATCCCGTCTCCAGAACTCTTTCATCTTGTAAAATGGAAACACTGTACCTATTAAACAATACCTCCCCATTCTCCCCTTTGCTCAGCCCCTAGTAACCACCATTCTGCTTTCTGTCTCTTAAGTCCCTCATTTAAGTGGAATCGTTTGTGACTGTCCGCATTATGTTTTCAGATAGTTTTCAAGTTCTGTTTGCTCTTACCTCTCCCACTGGAACTCCACTTACCCCTATTTTGGACCTTTTGTGTGTGTGTGTGTGTGAGAGGAAGGTCAGCCCTGAGCTAACATCCGATGCCAATCCTCCTCTTTTTGCTGAGGAAGACTGGCCCTGGGCTAACATCCGTGCCCATCTTCCTCCACTTTATATGGGACGCCGCCACAGCATGGCTTGACAAGTGGTGTGACGGTGCGCACCCGGGATCTGAACCTGCGATCCCCGGGCCGCCGCAGTGGAGCATGCACACTTAACCACTACGCCACCGGGCCGGCCCTGGACCTTTTGATATTGACCTTCAGGTCGCTCTGTTTGTTAAAATTTTTTTTTCTCTTTATTAATCCAGTTGAATAATTTCTGTTAGTGTATCTTCCAGTTCACTGACTTTTTCTCTGTCATCTCCTCTGATGTTAAGCCTGTCTAGTACATATTTTTGTTTTAGATAAGGTATTATCAATTTTAGGATTTCCACTTAGTTCTTTTTTTATAGTTTCTATTACTCTGCTGAGATTTCCTCTTTTTATTTATTATGAACATATTGCTCTTTATTGAACTTTGTCTAAAATCTTTGCTTATTCCAACATTTGGGCATTTTAAGGTCAATCTCTGTTGATTGTTCTCTTGAGAATAGTTCACGTTTTTCTTTTTCTTCACTGTGGAGTAACTTTGGAATGTGTTCTGGACAGTGTGAATGTTATGTTGTAGCGCCTCTGCATTCTGTTCTACCCCCTAAAGCATATTGATATTTTTATTTTAGTAGTCTGTTAACTTGGTTAAATTTTAACTAAAAACTCTCTTACCTACCGTGGGCATTAGCTCAAATCTCAGTTCGGTTCTTTTATCCTTAGCAGGGCTGCCTGCGTTCTTTCTGGCACCGGTGTGGTTCAGGAGTCAGCCAAAGATTTGGACAGAGTTTATATATAGAATTTGAAGTTTCCTTTCTCTTTTTCAGATTATTGAAAATAATGTGGCTGTGGTTGCCCCAAAATCCGTTTTCTGGTTCTTCAGTCTAAAAAGTCTACAGAGTTTTGAATCAGAGTTTTAGCTGCTTCACACACCACCACTGCCTGCCCTGTAGTGCTGACTCTGGTCTACTAAAGGTCATAAAAAGTGGGGAACTCACCCCATGCTGTACCCTTCTTTTAAGAAGGGGTCTACTCCCTTCAGAATCTGCCTGATTTTATATGCTCTCCAGTGCTTTCATGTAATTTCCTTCTATACTGTGTCCAGAGTTTATAGTTATTAACTGTGTGAGGGTCATTCTGGTAGGAGCTTATTGGCAATGGTGAGAGTGGAACTTCTGAAGATTCAATTAAGAGACAGAACTTGAGATATATAAGGAACTGAAAGAAGGCCAGTTTAGCTGCTGAAGTTTGGAGAGAAAGGAAGAGAATAGCCAGATGAAATTAGAATGGGAGGCAGGGAGCAGATTGTGGAGGGCCTTATATGCCATGCTTGTCTGGGCAAACATGATCAATGGGTGCCATATATGTAGGGGAGGCTCATCATGTAAGAAATCTTTCTTGTCCCTGGAGGTCAGGGTTTGGGACCATGTTGAAATTCTGCATTTGTAGTCTTTGTTGTGCTTGTTAATGCTGCAGCTAATCTGCTCCAGACCCGGGGCTTTATGCCGACATAGAGTTTCTTTAAGCAGTTGCCCTTACCTCATCCTGCTGCCTCCAGCATGTACAATAAACCTTTCCAATGCTGGAGCTGCCACTGAGGTATTTAGCATTGGGGGGATATTATCAAAAAAGGATGCCAAGGAGAAGTTATTTCCCCGCTGGGTCTAGGACTTCTCATTTCCTTTACATTTTGAGTGCTGGACACTTGGAAAAAAATATATATATCTTCTGTAAGCTAGAAGCCTGAGCCTTCAAGGAGAAGATTGGCTTATAAAGAAGAGTCCTCCACCTACCTCAGCTTTGCCGTGATTATTGAGGTTAGATGTAGTAACCATGAAGGATATGAACCCACTCCTACTCATTTTGACTAGTTATAAAAGGAGCCAAAGGGCACAAAGCTGGGTGTCCTGGAACCCTAAATCTTATTGCGATACTGAGAGGGATCTTCCCAATGGTGCCTAGTGATTTTAAGTACAAATTCTTGCCCTTTGACCCTTATAATGCCCTGCGTGTATTCTACGGCTGGATGAAGAGCATCTTGTTATGGGGCTAATCATGGATATTTGTTCCTTAGACCTGGGTTCACATGACTGTCTACGCTGGGTGGCCCTAAGCCAACCATAGCACTACTAATTCTTCACCCTTTTGTTCTTCATTCAGCAACTCCATTGCCATCCATGGTCATTGACTGTACTTTGGAAAGCTCAGTGCTGGCCTGGAACCTTTCCATGTTATCTTAAAATGGGCCTGAACTGCTCCACTCTCCAAGCCATACTGTGTTTTTTCTCTGGCCACCCTATTACTAACTTTTGCATGTTACCTGGCTCTTTTCTTTACTTAGCTTCTCAGCTTTTGCACTCTTTGATGACTCTAATTTCCTTTTTTTTGGGCCAGATATGGAGAGAATACCAAAGAGAATAGGTTGAGATGACTATGATGATCTCTAGGCTCCAAAATGGATTAAAGATTTAAATTAAGATATAGAAAGCATAGTTGCTAAATTTGCAAGCAACTCAGAGGTTGTATTTGATAAGTAACAGATATCAGAATTCAAAACCCTGTTGCTTATTAGAACACTGAACTGACTCCAAGAAGAAGCATAGGTTAAACTAAAGTCCTGAATTTGGTGAGAAGAATCTTTAAGTTGAGAATTGTGAAGACCTAACTTGTCTTCAACAGTTTCATTAGAGGCTTAGCTGGGTTCTAACATGAGTACCCAAGGTTAGGGCCCCACCACTGGTGGTTGTTGTAACAGAATTTTAAAAAGGTGTCTGCCTTCCCCTGTCTTCTTTAGACTTCTCAAAGTCTTCCTTTCACAGTGCTTCTTCTAATGGTTTGTCTTAGTCGTCATGACAACGTATTACCTACCATACAATATTGTGAAAAGCATTTAGAATGCTTCCTCTTTGCTTTGATTACTGCAATTTGTGGCACTGTATAATGTTTATAGAACACGGAAAGAATGCTCCCCTATCCTCTTTTGTGGTTAGATGTCTATAATACTGTGTGCAGTTTTAGGCATCCTATTTAAGAAGGAGTTTACTCAGGGCCGGCCCCGTGGCTTAGTGGTTGAGTGCGCGCGCTCCGCTGCTGGCGGCCCGGGGTTCGGATCCCGGGCGCGCACTGACACACTGCTTCTCTGGCCATTCTGAGGCCGGGTCCCACATACAGCGACTAGAAGGATGTGCAGCTATGACATACAACTATCTACTGGGGCTTTGGGGGAAAAAATAAATAAATAAAATTATAAAAAAAAAAGGAGTTTACTCAGAAGAGATCAGCTAAGACAGTGAGATGTATGGAAATTTTATTACAAAAAGAAAGAAAAGAGGAAATTGGTATGATTGGAAAGGGAATAGTTCAAATGGAAATGAAAGCAGTGGGTGGAATTGGAGCCTGAAATTTTGGAAGTTTGGACTTGATTATGTTTCATTTGCATGTTAGAACGGAGACTCTGTTTAGCTCAGTTTATTCAGAGACTCTTATAGAGTCAGCCAGTGTTCTTAGTCATAGACAGACAGACAAATATAAATGTTAATTTAATACAGAACTGTACTTTTTTCTGTGGCTTCTATCATTTTAATAGACCACATTCCCATTTTCCTTTTTCCATCCAACCAAAGAGGCAGCCTGAGGTAAGACAAGTTCCAACTTCTTCAGATAGTAGCTTCCAAAAATTCCAGGAACCAGTACTCTCTTCCCTACTTTGTGTTCAATTATGAAAACAGACACTACCATTAAAAGCCTTGGCTCACAATATTGTGGCAGCCATCAGAGCCTTATTAACTCTAATTGGTTGACTGCTTCTTTCCATTACTAAATCATGCTTCCCTGAATTCAAATAACAAATCCAGAAGTCTAGATCTGAAGGCAGTTTTGGGATTTGGAAGTAAAGTTGGTCTGCTATGAAAACCCACAAATATGCTGCATCAGACCACAGACCTTGATCACGGGGAAAGCTCCAGACACAATGGACAACCAGGGTTATGATGGTGGGTTGTAGTGAAGACAGATCTTTTCTTAATGAGAATCTTAAAAGAAATTTATTTATACAACTGAAGACCCTTGGCCTGTAACCCGCTGCTTCTAGGCTGGATCTTTGTTGCACACTGGGAAGATGAAGAAATGGAATGGCACTTCAGTTCACTTGTTAGTATGACCTGATCATGGTTTTACCATCACTAGCCTGTGAGTCTTTTGTTTCCACACTGTCACCACGGAAGACCATAAGTCTGCGCAGAACAGCAATACCGGGAGGAACTCAGACTAATCAGAGGCCCATGGCAACACTATTAAAACTAGATACCTGTGGCTTGGCACAGTGTAATTGTAGACCAACGCTGTATGACCTTATAAACAGTTACATAATATAATACCTTCTGTTTTCCATAGGCAGAAATTCCTAGAGTTTTAACTCTGCATTTCTGATCTTCATATTGTTACTCTGAAAAAATTAATATTCAGTTTGATAAAGAAAACTGGCCAGAACATCCTCTTGAGTTTTTGAAAGTATAATTTTGTGTGGACACTGTTTAATGAATACCGAACTGTTCAACACTATTATATTCTGTGAGAAACAAAACTACAATTATTTATGTGGGCTGAGATTTTCTGGAAAAGGTTTTATGGATTTAAGTGATATATAAGCTGAACCTTGAAGAAAATCTAAGCGATTAAATACATAAAAGGATTCCAGTTGATGAAGAAGTTTGAAGAAGTGAAACTATCACATTTCACTTTATTTTTATTTTTATTTTTTTTAAAGATTTTATTTATTTTATTTATTTATTTTTCCCCCAAAGCCCCAGTAGATAGTTGTATGTCATAGTTGCACATCCTTCTAGTTGCTGTATGTGGGATGCGGCCTCAG